TATATGTAAGGGATCAAAACCACATTAAACCTCACGCAAGGCTGAAATGCATGAGCGTGCAAGCGGATAACTTTACCCTGTATAGAATAACGTATTCCTTTGTATCGGAAGTGCGTGTGGTGCTCTGCTTAGTTTCATTGTCTTAACACATAAGCATTAACTCACACAAAGGTAAGAAAGGACCCTTATAGATGGAGCCCTCTAAGATATTTTGGGGCCATTATTGGGATCTGTTCCCACTCACCTTAGAGTTTTGGTATGCCGGTCCACCTTGTGTGTGTATACAATTTTTTATTTTGCTCATAGCTCCCTTTTAAAAAAAGGTAGAAATAATCACCATGAACCCACAGATCAATCCTGCTCTCCCACATGGAAGAAAAATAATTTGAAGAATATATTTTACAAAAATATATTTTTAAAAAATACATTTTTTAAAATATATTCTTCAGATTTTTTCAACATATAAAAAAAGTAATTTTAACATATCTTTTTACATATATTTGTAAATGCATTCCAAAAATGTAGATTTGTATTTTTAACGACATGCAGTATATTTGAAATGTATTTTTAAAAGTATTTTTCATATATTTTGTAATAAAAACGCATTTCAACATGCAGTATATACTGTGTATATATATATATATATATCAATTTATTGAAATATATTGAATATGGCCAAAATTGTAGTATTTCAAATATATGGCAATATATTTGGGAAGAATATTTTAACAATACATTTCAAATATATTTTTCTTCCATGTGGGCTGTGCCAGTGGTTTAGGGTGGTGGTGTACTGGTGATGGCTCTGAGCCAACATGGACCAGAATTCAGCAACCTGAAAAGGTGGTCCTGACCCATACTTGATAGGTGTACCTAATACTATTGCCAGCGAGTTAGTTTTCTGAATTCATTTCAGTCATTGTGGGCACAAATGACTTTTGCCTCTCGGGGGATCAGTAAGGGATTTTTTTCCCCTGCTGGAGCAAATTTTATTGCGCTTTGCTGGGTTTTTTTTTGCCTTTCTCTGGATCAACTGTGGGTATAGGATTATAACTTTTTTTTTTTTATGGTTGAACTAGTGGACTTTTGCCTTTTTTCAGCCAGACTAACTACGTCATTTTGAACACAATGAATCCCCTAATGTCATCTAAAGATGCATCAATTCCTCTGTCAGTCTGTCAGAAACCTCTGTCACTGTCGGAGAAGACAAATTGGTAGGGCACATACCATTAGGCACGTTCCTGTCTGTGTTGCAGCAAGTTTGCAGGGTCGTGGCACTTTCCCTGTCACCAAGGCCTGCAGCTTTTGTAGCTGCTGTAGGAGAGACCTAAGGAAAATAATGAAATGGTCAAATGTAAGTACCAGTGCATTCAAATGCAGATTTTGTTTACTTCTGTGTGATCTCCATCATTTACCTAGATTTTATGGATCAGATAAGCTTTCATGCCTACAGTATTATCTATGAATCACAGAGTTGCTGCAATTCACAGAATGAACATTAGGTGGTGACAAAATCTCACATCTGATTACACTGGACCTAACTTTTGTGAAATTCTTGAATTTACTTCCCACATGGCTCATTTTGCATTATAAAGATTTCAGTTGTTCAAATGTTCAGCTTTTATTCCAGTAGAATTGTCACGCACACTCGCCAGCATTTAAACAGCTCCCAGGTACAGTATGCTGCATTGCTGACATATTTAAGCCCACTGAACACAATGCAAGGATCTCAAGAGGGCTATAGTCACAGTTATGAATAATTCAAGGGTAATATATAACAACACATTTAATTCTGATATGGCTTCAATTAATCCAGCAAAAAAATACATAGAGTTAGCCTACATGAGTCTTAATATCAGCCTCCCGTAAGGTATATGTAAATCCTCACCTTGTAAAACAAGCCATTCAGTTTAAAATAGAAATGAGAGGCAAAACATTTGCGTATAGATATAAAAAAAAAATGATAAACACTTTTTTTTTATCCTTTTTTTTATAAGTGATCACATTCCCTCTGTTCTCCGCTACACAGGGAGTTGGGGGAGGAGAAACAGTAGCACACTGGTCTTTCCAGTGAATGGCTATGCAGGGGGGGGGTGTTAGGACAGGTCTGATTATTGGAAGAGAATATGCTGAGTTCTCAGCACAAATAGAGAACTGACCATGGTGAGTTCTTCTGCTCAGTGTGGTCAGTTAGGAAGGCAAAGGGACTGATGGGAACACTAGGGATTTCACACAAAAGGAGAACAGGGGACTTTCTTTTCCTACAAGTATATGGTACAGGAATCAGCAGCCACATATCAGGAAAATGAAATGTTGAATTTATATATTATTTAATCCTCTGCACAGCATTGTTCAGAGGGAAGGAGGGGTATCATATACAGATAAGGAGGACAGCAAAGGGATGATCTCACCGGTCCTTTGCTAGCCTGCTGCTCCTTCACAGTGTCCAATCAGAGGCTGTGTTGGGGCTAATACCATGCTCACTATTTTGTAACTTTAGATATCATTAAATATAAGAAAATTTTTCAAAGCGTTTTTTTTTTCATTTTATTTGATTTTTCCACCACCACCTTCAGTAGCAAGGCATTCTATTTAAATTAAATGTGAACTGCAGGCAAACGGCTAAATATAAAATACAGAGTTAAAATTCATTTATGTAAAATGTGCTATCTGCCAAAGGATTTGTAACTCTGTTCAGCCAGTCTACAGATAGGGTTACAGAAACCTCTGCCAGACAGCACAGTCAACTCCTGGACTTCTATTCATACTACACAAAAGTTAAAGTGGAAGTAAACGGTGGCGGGGGGGGCCAGCATTCGCCATAATGTGTACATATGGTTGTGCTCTCCTGCAGTTTCATGAGGCCCAAGCTCCCCACATCCACTGTGTCCCCACCGGCGCTGTATAATCTTCCTCTTCTATGTCTGCCGTCTTCTTGTTTTGCTCATTGGGCAGACACTGATGAGGTCTCCTGTGCTTGAACACTAGAGTTATATTTTCTCAGCACCCACTCTTGAATACACTGCAGTCAGTCTACAGGTTCCAAAAAATTGCTAGTATGAAAGTGAAAGAGTTTTTTTGTCAGAAGAGACTTATAAATTCTCTGCTACCAAAAAGATCCTACCCCGCTGGCAGTTTTTCAGTTTTCAGGGTTTACCTCTGCATTAAGCAGTGCAACCTGGTAACTACACCAGCCTGTGACAGTGGCATCACTATGGGGGTGCGGGGGGTGTGGACCGCACCCGGGTGACCCGGGTGACACTGGTCACGGCATTTATGAGCCACTGCTATCATGCTCTGGGAGCTGTTTGTGAGAGTTATAGGACAGCTCTGGATAGAGGGGCGGGGATGCCCAAGTTAACAGCAGGTGATTGGTTGTTAGGATGCAGGGTGGTCCTAGCAACCAATCATCAGCTTGCAGCTCGCGCCCTATGTCCGGACTCGCTGTGTCTCCAGCCCTACGCACTGCCTGTGTAACATAAGACATGAGGAGGGGTGATGTGTGGGGGGGAGCTGAGGACGGTAATAGGGTGCTGTGGGGGGGAGCTGGGGACAGTAATAAGGCACTATGGGGGGGGGGGGGGGACTGAGGACAGTGGGGGGCTGTGGGGGGTTTAGTAATGGGGGGAGACTGAAGACAATAATGGACTGAGGACAGTAATTAGGCAGACTGAGGACAGTAATAGGGGCCTGAGGACAGTCAATGGGTGAACTGAGGACAGTAATGGGGGGGCTGAGGACAATAATGGGGGGACTAGGGACAGTAATAGGGGCCTAAGGACAGTCAATGGGTGAACTGAGGACAGTAATGGGGGGGCTGAGGACAATAATGGGGGGACTGAGGACAGTAATGGGGTCACTGAGGACATTAATATGGTCCCTGATGACATTAATGGGTTCACTGGGGACATTAATAGGGAGAACTGAGGACAGTAATGGCGGCCTGATGATAGTATTTGGGTCACTAAGGACATTACTGGGGCAAAAGCCACACCAATGCGCTAGCCTGCTCAGTGCCCTACTGCCTGTCCTGCTGAGAATGGGGGGTGACACCATGTTTTACTGCACCAGGTTACACCAACCCTAGTGACGCCACTGGCTTGTGACACAAAGGAAGGGCATAGCTGGAGGCAATGTGTGAATGGTAAGATGTTGGAGGGATCAGGTACAAAAGGAAGAGCCATGCCTACAGAGAAAGCATACTGTAATTGCCACGTAGGTACCTGATTAATACAAAACTGGCTAGGTTGTGTCAAACTCAAAGAATGCCCAAATGGGGACCTAAACGTTTTGTGCAGTGTTCATCACTGGCACGTGGCAAGTGAAAGCACCTCACCTGTTGGCATTTTCCAAACTCTCCACTTTTTTCCACAGCTCACTGTTCTGTGATTGTGAAGGATTCTACCCTAAAAAAAACAGAATACAAACAGAAAGGTATACTTATTGGCACACCAGAGCAGTATGAGTCAGGCTTTAAGGAACAGTCCACGCCAGATTGATTTTAAGTTATGTGAAGTTACTGGCAATCACATGCTGGATATTTATATCTGTTGAAATGTCCAGTGATGAGCTGTCCTTGCCAGGATTCCCAGTTTGGCTCAGCTACTGCAGCCATTACAAAGTCATGGTGGACTCATGCTCTTCCAATGGATTATAATTGGGAAGTCCAGCTAGGAGAGGATGACAACTTTGTTATGGATCTGTGAGCGGGGGGGGGAGGCAGAGACACAAAGGATAGAAGGGAATTTTTCTCTTCACCGGAGTCTCAGATATAAGAACCCAAAGGTTTTATATTAGCGGGTGAAATAGGATACACAATAGACACAATAACAATCTAACAACACAGTAACAATAAAAATTACACAATAATAATAATGTTATATATGCTACTGGCCGACATAACACATTAACAAATTTAGAGGGACAAAACAAAGAAATGTCAGAGAAAGAAGGCTTGAAGAAGTGATGTACACACATTTCACAACTCACTTCTTTTCCAAGCACTCTACATATTCCTTCTTCTTCCTCCGGCTTTCCTGGGCTGAGATCTAAGGAACAGACACAAAAAAGAACCAATGTCACACCCAGGGGCAGACTGACAATTCATGGGGCCCCTGGGCAATAGGGGATCATGGGGCCCCTGTGTCCTTTCCCAAACTAAAAAAAAGCCTATGAAAAAAGGTACCAGGGGCATCTCATGGGGCCCCATACTGACCCCGGCCCTGGGGCAGTGACCGAGTTTCCAAATGGTCAGTCCACCCCTGGTCACACCTGATGTCATTGCTGGAAGCCCCAATCTACACATCCTTTTCTGAAACCTCCGATCTATACCTCCTTCCCTCTAACCTCCCATCAGCACATCCTTTCCTGTAACCTCCTTTCTACATGTCCTTTCCAGTAACTTCCGATCTACACATCCTTTCCCATAACCTCCCATCAACACTTTCTTTCCCATATCCTTCCATCGTCATATCCTTTCCTGTAACCTCCCAACAACACATCCTTTCCTGGAACCTCCCATCAACACATCCTTTCCTGTAACCTCCCATCAACACATCCTTTCCTATAACCTCCCATCAACACATCCTTTCCTGTAACCTTCCATCAACACATCCTTTCCTGGAACCTCCCTTCAACACATCCTTTCCTGTAACCTCCCATCAACACATCCTTTCCTGTAACCTCCCATCAACACATCCTTTCCTGGAACCTTCCATCAACACATCCTTTCCTGGAACCTCCCATCAACACATCCTTTCCTGTAACCTCCCATCAACACATCCTTTCCTGTAACCTCCCATCAACACATCCTTTCCTGGAACCTCCCATCAACACATCCTTTCCTGTAACCTCCCATCAACACATCCTTTCCTGGAACCTCCCATCAACACATCCTTTCCTGGAACCTCCCATCAACATCTCCTTTCCTGTGGAACCTGCCATCAACACATCCTTTCCTATAACCTCCCATCAACACATCCTTTCCTGTAACCTCCCATCAACACATCCTTTCCTATAACCTCCCATCAACACATCCTTTCCTGTAACCTCCCATCACACACATCCTTTCCTGAACCTCCCAACAACACATCCTTTCCTATAACCTCCCATCAACACATCCTTTCCTGGAACCTCCCATCAACACATCCTTTCCTGTAACCTGCCATCAACACATCCTTTCCTGTAACCTCCCATCATCACATCCTTTCCTGGAACCTCCCATCAACACATCCTTTCCTATAACCTCCCATCAACACATCCTTTCCTGGAACCTCCCATCAACACATCCTTTCCTGTAACCTGCCATCAACACATCCTTTCCTATAACCTCCCATCAACACATCCTTTCCTGTAACCTCCCACCAACATATCATTTCCCATAACCTCCCATCAAAACATCCTTTCCCGTAACGTCCCATCAACACATCCTTTCCTGTAACCTCCCATCTACAAATCCTTTCCAGTAACTTTCCATCTACACCTCTTTTCCTGTATCCTCCCATCTACAAGTCATTGCCAGTAACTTCCCATCTACACATCCTTCCCTGTAATCCTCCAGCTATCTACACAGCCTTTCCTATAACCTCCCATCAACACATCCTTTCCCAGAACCTCCCATCAACACATCCTTTCCTATAAATTCCCATCAACACATCCTTTACTATATCCTCCCATCAAGACATCCTTTTCCAGAACTTCCCATCAACACATCCTTTCCTGTAACCTCCCATCTACATCTCCTTTCCAGTAACTTCCCATCTACACCTCCTTTCCTGGAACCTCCCATCAACACATCCTTTCCTATAACCTCCCATTAATACATCCTTTCCTGGAATCTACCATCAACACATCCTTTCCCGTAACCTCCGATCTACATTTCCTTTCCAGTAACTTCCCATCTACACCTCCTTATCTGTAACCTCCCATCTACATGTCCTTTCCAGTAACTTCCCATCTACACGTCTTTTCCTGTAACCTCCCATCTACACATTCTTTCTCATAAACTTCTATCAACACATCCTTTACTGTAATCTCCCATTAACACATCCTTACCAGTAACCTCACATCTACACATCCTTTCCCATAACCTCCCATCTTCATATCCTTTACCATAATTTCCCATCTGCATATCCTTCCTGTAACCTCCAATCTGCACGTCCTTTACTATAACCTTCCATCCACATATCCTTTCCTGTAACCTCCTATCTACACATCCTTCCCGTAACCTCCCATCAACACAATCTTTCCCATACCCCCAATCAACACATCCTTTCCTATAACCTCCCATCAACACAATCTTCTCCCATACCCTTTTATCAACACATCCTTTCCTATAACCTCCCATCAACACATCCTTTCCTGTAGCATCCCATCTACATGTCCTTTCCAGTAACCTCCCATCTACACATCCTTTCCCATAACCTTCCATCAACACATCCTAAACCGTACTCTCCCATCAACACATCCTTCCCTGCCACCTCCCATTCACACATTGTTTCCTGCTCCAAAATTTTTAAGCACAACCCTGGAGACCATTGAATCCTAAAGCTAGATTGTCACCTTGTTCAGCACATGGACAATGTCATGTCCTGACAGAACACACCTCTCTTGGTGGGAAGGATCAGTCAGACACATTTTAAAAAAATGCATGGGTTGATAAGCTAAGTGTTGGACAGTAGTCTCCTGTGAAGCAAGGACTGAGTGCATGTATGCTACTAAGAGCAGTGTCTTCCAATGGGAGCATGGACAGACCTACCACTTTGAGATTTAGGGGTCCCTATATTACTAGATTGGATACTAGCTGGGCAAGTACTGAAACCAAACAGGAGCCTATAGATGGACTTTAAAAGAGGGAGTAAGTGTGAGTAATTGAACTGAGCCATGAGCTCCTTCTATTGGGTAATAGCTCTATATAATTAATATGACAACACAAGTATAGTAAAGCAAGCTTGAGAAATCCATGTAAAAAAAACGTATTCTTAATGAGCTAAACCTCAAAATTAACTTTAACTAGACATTCACTCAAAATACACTATACTTTCCCTTCAATCAGTCTTACAGAGGCCCTTCCTCACCTTGTTTTTTATTTTCCTGCGCACTCTTTTCAGAGCTTTCTCCTCAGTTTTAGTGAGCGGGAGTTTGGTAGGAATGGGGTAGCCCTCAGCAACTAATGTCCGCCTTTCTTCCTCCGTCAGCATTAAAGGTCCCGATGTCCCTTGCAGTTTCTAAACACCATTGAAAATATTACAATGTAAAATGCAGATTATGACTGTGAAAGCCTCTCGGAGATGTCAGCTGCCATGAAACCAGAATACCTACATGAGGGGCAGTGAGGAGCGGTGATGATGAGATGGCATGGGAGGATCGGGGTACTGGACGGGCAGGGCTGGGAGGCGGAAGAGATCGTGGACTTTGAGATCCATCACTATCACTGCTATGGCTACTGGGAGGAGTTAAGGGCATGACCCCCATTACATCTAGGAAAAGAAAGACATGTCAGATCATACCAAATCTTTAAAGTAGGTGACATATATTAAAAGAAAACTTAGTGATTTTGGGTCAATGTTTTTCTATAAAACTTTAATACTGATGCTTTATATCTGTTTTAGATAAAAAAAACTGTATGCATACACTCTTTCTTTAAAAAATAAATATTTAATACATGGCAAATATTCTCATGGCACTATGGGTTTTCTAAGGAGACAGCTCAGCAGTAGTTATGGTTTTTAATTTAACTATTCATCATTGAAACCTCAGACAGGGCCTCCAACAAGGAATAAGTCACTACACTGACTCATTCACATGTTACATAGATAGGTCAAAAAAAGACACAAATCCATCCAATTCAACCAAAAGAAAAAATAAATAGAATAAATAAATAGATATATATACAGAATCCTATACCCAAAGTTGATCCAGAGAAAGGCAAGCATGTGTACACATTTCAGCTTGAGCTAATAAACCAGCTTTTTACTGCAAAGGAGACAGAGGAAAACATGTAAAAGGAGCTTATAGCTCCATCAGCTGGTCAGATAGGACACTACATGCTATCCATATTATTATTTATATATTTAATTGGCTAGAAATTAGATATTAATTTTTAGTCCTGGCCAGGATAAAGGAACCTTGTTCCACATGAACAGCCCTAACAGAGCAAATTAGCTCATCAAAGGCTTATGGTCTTTCCATGTTCTGAAATGAAATAAACTCAGTACCAGAGTCTCTTTTTTATATCAGTCATTGGAGGTGCTTACAATTTCCCATGGCTTGCATATGTATACTTCAGGCACAGTTTGATCAAACACCAGTTAACCTCCTGGTATGTTTTTGGACATTGAAGGAAACAGTACCTGGAGATAACCCGTGTTAATAAGTGATACGTGCACCATGTTACCCTGCTGGGACTTTAGACAGTAATTACAAGGAAATATTGATACCGGCCTAAGGTTGGGGGAAGGCAAACTCTCACCAGAACCAGGCCCAGATCTAGGCAGGGTGCTGGGGTAGGCTGTGCACCATCCTAGGTTTTTAAGAGTGCAACAGCTCTCTAGTTGTCTATGGTCGGTTGCAACCTATACAGCAAGCATTTAAACATTCCCAGGAAAATCCCTTATACCTATACTTTCAGTAATAATACAATTAAATGGAGAGTTCATTTACCTTGTGGTATATTCAGCAGGTGGTTTGGTACTCCTGGTTCTACCTTTATATGTGATATTGGTGTCCTGCAGACATTCTATAATAAAAGGGACATAGAACATTACAATAGTATCGTTTATAGTAGAGATATATATTATACTATAGTCTATAGTGTAGGGTCTGAAGACAGCTAAAGGTTCATCGGAGAACGTCAGCTTGATCTGGTCATTTTAGGTTGCACTTGGGAATATTTTTAGATATCTGTAGGTAACATTTTGTTGTCTCTAGGTCTAGAGGGTTTCCAGATTATGACATACATTCCCTGCCAAAAGTTTTTTGTTGACCTTGTTGGATTTTGTTTGGATGTTTTATTTCTTGGGTACTTCGCCAGCATGATCTATTGATCTATCTGTCATAATTCTCAACTCTGTCCAAGCCCGTCTAGGGGTTTTTGGTGCTCCTGACCACCTTTGTGTGTACCAGCTCCTCCTTTTACATTCATCATAATACTAGATTAATTTAAAAAAACAAAAAACAAAACGTAAAGTAGAATTAAATGCATAGAGTAAGGTAGGGTACTAACCCCCTGTGATTCTTTCGCCATCTGTGTCCCATTGGGGAGATTTCTCTTCACGTCTTGACTCATAGCCAAAACAAGAAGTGAGGAAATCCCTTCAGATTGATGGAATTTCTTGTTTGTCACCAGAACTAGTGTCCTAATCGGAAGATTATAGGAAGATTATTCCTGTTGTGCTGTCAACTCAAAATTTGGGGGATTCTTTTATTTTCACTCTCAGTGATAAAAACTGACAGCTGTTCTAACTGTGTCACCATTGTATCCAAAATTTCCGATTTTCTAAAGAAAATTAGTTCAGAATTCAACCCATGTATGGCCTACATCAGAGAGACTGAAAGCCCCTCATAATGACCACAGCACGTGTGCAGACCTGGGAACTCAGCATAACCAGTGTGCAGGAGAAAGTAGAGCAGACCTGGGCAAACTACAGCCCCAGTGCCACATATGGCCCTTTGGCTGTCACTGTCTGGCCCTTGACGCCTCCACTGTCAGCATGTCCATGTGGAGAGTTGGAAGAACTGGAAGGAGAAAGCTTCAGGAGCTGATTGGTACAGCAGGGAGGCTGGGTTCTGATGAGAGAGTGTGGCATGGGTGACATCCTGACAGTCTCCCTCCTGTCACTCTACTACCCAGCCAAGTTCTTCCTGTGTTAGGAGCCATGCAACTGTTCTTCACTATAGGTCAGGATCTGGAGACATCCCCACTGAATTCAATATGCTTGTCAAATTCTGCACCGCAAAGTAAAAATGCCATGGCAGCATAACAAAGCATCAGGGCCGCAGCATATTAAAAGCCCAATCTAGTTGTTATGGTGTTATTTTCTAGCTCAGGTGGGCAGCCGGGATGGTAAAACTGCATTCCAGCCACCCATTTTTACCACCCATTGACTACCTGTCTAAAAGATTTATTTCGTACCTATTATTGCCAGCACCATGTGTTTGACCTTCTCAGGTCCAAAATTAAAATTAAGCAGAAGTTCAACCCTCCACAACAGTGCCAGTTTCTCATGTAGCCCCTTTTCTCACCCCTGAAGTAGAGGCTGTCAGGTGGTTTTAACACTCCAGCATCTACGAAAAATGTAAATATCAGTTTTAGATGGGAAGATCCTTTAAGACTGCCCTTAGACATAGGGGTGGGTACAGGCATGGCTCAGAAGGAACACAATAGACTTTATTTTTCAGAATATATGATGGAATATGGTGTCAGAAAATCTGTGTTGCCCAAAAGCAGCCATAAATATAATGAGTCCATATGGAACAATTCTTCATGGCAAGTCCAATGCAGCAGGATGATGACAGTCCTGTTATAATTTCATGTACTCACCTCGTCATTCTGCAGAACCCCTGGCCCCAGTGCTTGTTCCAGAGGTGCACTTGTCGGGTATGTGGGCTCTGCCTGTGATAACATGTTCTGTTCCTGTTTCACCAGTAATGAACACAGCTCATGCTCCAGGGCCCACACTGCGCTCCCAGGTTCTAAGAGGGAGAGAAATGTAGGTTAGACCTTCTCTACAACAAAGAACATTGGTGGTCACCACCACCTCCTACTATGCAGTGACCTGATGACACATTCCTTTTTAGTATATCTGCATACAACACACCCAATTGTTTCCTACTGCTGATCCTCCCTTTCCCAGACTGACTTCTACTGTACACAAGGTTTATACCAAGTTAAATTCAAGCACCTAACACTTGTTGAATTTCCTTCTGTGATGGTGGGGCTGACCAAGAGCTGCTGGGAGTATCTTAGCAACATACTAGCAACAGGGCAGGATGGCATGATGCCATTTATGGGAGTTTTCCAGGCAGACTTTATTAGGTACATACTGTAGATGGTGTACACCTATGGGGAATTATCCAACTTTAGTCACACCCGCCCAGTATGTTTTTATCAATATGCGCCCCTTACCTGCATTGGCATTTTTTTGTAAAAGTGAACTAACCTTTTAAGAGCATCAAATACAGCCAATGCGTTTGGGGGGATAAAAGCCTCCCTCTTCCTCGGGGTTTGAGTTGTCAATGTTAATGAAATCATGACAGAGTACAGTATGAGGACCTGTGTTAAAGTGGTTGTACACCCTTGAATATACCCAGTGAAAATGATTGGCCTCAGGTGATACACAGAGATGAAACAAATCCTCATACATACGTTGTACTGTTTATCTACAGTTCTCTCTTCTCTAAAGCTGTTCAAAGGGCTGAATTTATAAAGCTTGCCTGAGAGTTCCGAAAACAAGAGGCGGAGAACTGAAATTACACACTATAAAGCTCAGTGAGGAGAGCTCTGAGAACTGATTGGAGGGCAGGGACACACCCCCCTCCACACAGCACACAAGAACAGAGCTGAGGCTGTCATTCTGCTACAGGTCCCTCCCCTGTCACCATTTTTCTATTGGTGTCAGGAAAACTTGTCAGAAGTGATTCATGCTGATAGTAGAGTAGAAATTACACTTAGTGCTCTGGATTGAGACAAGTACACACTATAGAGGGATATGATTTGTTCATATCTCATGTCTGAGCTTTACAACCACTTTAAGACTTGATAAGACTAACATCTCCTGATGGCATTATAGGTAGCTGGCTGAATGTCTTCTGGAAAAATAAAAGTGAAATGTCCTATGATGGAACCTGACTATTACAGAGGATATCCATTCCCTTCATTATCCGGAGAGAATTGAGAAGGGAATCTAGTAAAGGAATGTAATCCTCTGTATTCTGACTGGGTATCAGGAAAATGCCAACTTCTCCTCTTTGAAAGGCTGCAAGAGAGCATCAGCAGCTTCCATTTACATGTGCACAACATCTGCTGTTAATTTAAGCAGCTGAGCTGCACGAGCTATAAATCTTTCAGTTAACCCGCTCTGTTCTTATTATCTACTGCAGTAATGGCTGACTACGAACTGCCTATTGTACATTTAAAACCCTATGAGATGCTGCATGCCCACAGCGATGGTGAGGAGGTCAATCTACACATATAAGCTGATGTGGGACCAGGGGCGGACTGACCATTTGGAAACTCGGGCACTGCTCGAGGGCCCGGGGTCAGTAGGGGGCCCCATGAGATGCCCCTGGTACCTTTATTATAGGCTTTTTTGAGTTTGGGCAAGGACACAGGGGCCCCATGATCCCCTATTGCCCGGGGGCCCCATGAGTTGTCAGTCCGCCCCTGTGTGGGACAGAAGTAAGCACAGGCAGTCACCTGCTACTACTGGATAAGTAAGGCTTGGGACAAATTGCACAAGAAATGGTAAGCAGGAAAGAGGGACAAGAAGGCCAACTCCAGCCAACACACTTTTACTTGTTATCAGTGTCCCCAATTGGGAGATTTCCCTGCACTTCCTGTAAGAACATAAAGGGATGGGGAATCTCACTAATAGTGGGGAGGGGGTCACAAACAGAAGAAAAAACATTTTTGGTGAGCAACTTCTAACAATGCTTTTTTGCGGTATGTGTAGACTCCTGACAATTTCCTGTATAGATGTAAAAGGGACAGAAAGGTAAAGAAAATCTCCCGACAAACTGATCACAGCTTGACAGAACTTCTCACTCCTCCACACTCATGTTTTGGCCTGATTTAGGCATTAATATAGAAAAACAATTCTGTGGGAAAAAAAAAAAAAAAAAAAATATATATATATATATATATATACACACACACACACGCACATTATATTGCCAAAAGTATTGGGCCCGCCCTCCAAATTATTCGATTCAGGTGTTCCAATCACCTCCATGGGCACAGGTGTATAAAATCAAGCCCCTAGGCATGCAGACTGCTTCTACAAACATTTGTGAAATGGGTCGCTCTCAGGAGCTCAGTGAATTCAAGCGTGGTCCCGTGATAGGTTGTCACCTGTGCAATAAGTCCATCATGACATTTCTTTGCTACTAAATATTCCACAGTCAGCTGTTAGTGGTATTATACCAAAGTGGAAGCAACTGGGAACAACAGCAACTCAGCCACCAAGTGGTAGGCCACGGAAAATGACAGAGTGGGGTCAGCGCATGCTAAAGCGCACAGTGCGCAGAAGTCGGCAATTGTCTGCAGAGTCAATAGCTTAAGACTTCCAAACTTGGTGTGGCCTTCAGATTAGCATAACAGTGCATACAGAGCTTCATGGAATGGGTTTTCAAGCCTTACATTACCAAGTGCAATGAAAAGCGTCGGAAGTAGTGGTGTAAAACACGCTGCCACTGGACTCTAGAGCAGTGGAGATGTGTTCTCTGGAGTGATGAATCACGCTTCTCTATCTGGCAATCCAATGGACGTGTCTGGGTTTGGCATTTGCTAGGAGAACTTGTCTGACTGTATTTTGCCAAGTGGAAAGTTTGGTGGAGGGGGATTATGGCGTGGGGTTGTTCCACTGAAGGGAACTCTTAAGGCATCAGCATACCAAGACATTTTAGACAATTTCATGCACCCAACTTTGTGGAAACAGTTTTAGGGATGGCTCCTTCCTGTTCCAACATGACTGCACACAGAGCACAAAGCAAGGTCCATAAAGACATGGATGAGCGAGATTGGGGTGGAGGAACTTGACTGGCCTGCAGAGTCCTGACCTCAACCCGACAGAATACCTTTGGGATGAATTAGAGCGGAGACTGTGAGCCAGGCCTTCTCGTCCAACATCAGTGCCTGACCTCACAAATGTGCTTCTGGAAGAATGGACAAACCTTCCCATAGACACCCTCCTAAACCTTGTGGACGGCCTTCCCAGAAGAGTTGAAGCTGTTCTAGCTGGAAAGGGCGGGCCAACTCAATATTGAACCCAACGGACTAAGACTGGGATGCCAATAAAGATCATTTGCGTGTAAAGGCGGGCGTCCCAATACTTTTGGTAATATAGTATGTGTGTGTATATATATATATATATATATATATATACATACAGGGATTGGTCAAAATTATGTAAACACTAGGTACAGTGGGTATAGAAAAGATTTCGACCCCCTTAAAATATTATTAAAAATGTTGTTGCTTTGCACCCAGAAATAAAGACAGACACAGTTTTTGTTTTATCCAGCTGTATTTGCAACTTATAACGTCCAAGTAAAAAAAGGGTCAGAAAAAAATATTTAAAAAATTCAAAAACAGAATCACTGAGTTGGAAGAAGGATCACCCCCTCCTAAAAATGACTTGTAAACTCAGATGTAGCCAATCACCTTCTCAATGGCACACAATGCCATTTGACTTTAAAATGTGACCAGCTGTGGTCACTTTGATTAGCTCAGCATGAAAAAAGCTTTCCTGGAGCATGTCAGTCCCTGGTAGTGCACCTGAAGCAAATCAACTATGGGTGGCAAGGAACTGTCAGAAGATCTCCAGGATAAAGTTGTGGACTGGCACAAGTCAGGAGATGGACACAAACACATTTCAAAAGCTTTATAAATGCCTAGAAGCACAGTGAAGTCTATTATTAAGAAGTGGAAGGTATTTGGTACAACACAGACCCTTCCTGGATCAGAATGTCGCTCCAAACTGGATGAAAGAGCCAGGAGGAAACTGGTTAGAGAGGCTTCCAAGAGGCCTACAGCAACTGAAGCAGTTGCAGGAATTGATGACAAAGAGTGGTCATTGTGTGCATGTAACAACAATATCACACATTCCCCACAAATGTGACTTGTATGGGAGGGGTGCAAGAAAAAAAAGCCGCTCCTCGAGAAAGGCCACATGCAGTCACCACTGAGCTTTGCCAAAATGCACCTTGAAGATCCTGAGGCCGCATGGAAAAATGTGTTATGGTCAGAAGAGACTAAAATTGAGTAATTTGGCCTTAATACTAAACGATATGTCTGGCGGAAAAATCCAATACATCTCACCATTCCTACACTAAAGCATGGAGGTAGTAATATCCTGTTATGGGGGGTTTCTCTGCAGCAGGGATTGGAGCACTTTTCAGGATAGAAGGAAAGATGGATGGGGCAAAATACCATCACAATCTTGAGGAAAATCTGCTTCCCTTTGCCAGAAAGCTGTCAGTGGGAAGAAGGTTTACTTTCCAACATGACTATGACCTAAAGCACAAAGCAAAAATGAACTCACAGTGGTTGGAGGAGAAAAAGGTCCTTGCATGGCCTAGTCAGAGCCCAGACTTAAATCCCATTGAAAACCTGTGGAATGACTTGAAGACTGCCATCCACAAACAGTCACCATCAAATTAAATTGAACTTGAGCAGTTCTGCAAAGATAAGTGGGCAAATATTGCAATGTCTAGATGTGCAAAGTTAGTAGAAACATATCCCAACAGACTGAAGACTGGCATTAAAATGTTACTAAACCCACAACAGTAAAATTAGTCTGTATATGCAGTAAAGCATGCTTGTTATATTCACTGTGGAACCTAAGGAGTTAATCCTCTGCATTGTGTAACAATGCTGTGTGATCCTGACTTCTCTGATCCTCCCCTTATTCCAGTGTCTACCTCTTGTCTCCTGATAAGAAATATAGTGTGGAGACAGTGCACATGCTCAGTTTAGTGTGTATTGCTAGAGAGGTTTTTTATTTTCTTGGGAGAGTGCATGTGATCAGCACAGGGCCAATCAGCACTGTCTAGACAGAGGTCAGGGGTTTTGCATCCTTTTAGAGCAGAAATAAAACTCCTACACAGCTTTAACCAGTGCTCAGCTGAAGTCACAAGACTGCTCTAACTGCTTATGAGAAAGGCCTTCTCACCCGACATCAGTGCCTGACCTCACAAATGCTCTTCTGGAAGAATGGTCAAACCTTCCCATAGACACCCTCCTAAACCTTGTGGATGGCCTTCCCAGAAGAGTTGAAGCTGTTATAGCTGCAAAAGGAGGGCCAACTCAATATTGAACCCTACGGACTAAGCCTGGGATGTCATTAAATTCATGTGCGTGTAAAGGCAGGCCGACCAATACTTTTGGCAATATAGTGTATATATGTTTGTGTGTCACTTTGCATAATACTGTAGCTGCAGTAGAGTGATTACCGCTGGGGCTGTCTTCATCTTCCTCCTTTATAGTGAGGGCGGGACTCTGTGGGGCGGAGTCTTCACTCAGCGAATAGCTGTGCTCAGCCTGTATAGGAGGAGTCGGGCTCTCCACCTCCATATCCAGTAAGGCATCCCGGTCCAGCAGAGGAGGGTCATCAAAAAAACTGTTGAAGAGTTCATTGGAGAATTCATCCAGAGCATCCGAGAAGTGCTGGTTGGAAGAAAAAAATACCAATAAGTTCAAAGACAAAAGGTGGGCACCTCTGTATCTCATATATCTGACACAAGTTATACAGAAAATCATAGCTTTAGTTGACTGGTTCAACCAATGTGAGGGGTATAAAGGGGAATTAAACTTTAATAGTTGCAATACTGATAGAAATACCATGTTCTTGCTTGAATTAAAGATTATTAAGACATAAAATATATCACACAGAATTTTGTTCAAATTCTTCAAGTTCCCCATATTGTCTATCAGTATAAGCCGATAAGTCACCCCACAGAGCAGCCATAGGGGTTGATTTACTAAAACTGAAGCCTGAAAAACCTGGTGCAGCTCTACACAGAAACCAATCAGCTTCCTGGTTTTATTGTCAAAACCTAATTGAACAAGCTGAAGTTAGAAGCTGATTGGCTAGCATGCACAGCTGCACCAGATTTTGCACTTTCTAGTTTTAGTAAATCAATCCCATAGTGTTTCATGGACACTTGGTTGAGGTGATAAAAAACGCTGCAAACTGTGCAACCAAATCAATCCATCAAAAAGTGTCAGACACTCAAAAGGGATCTTTAATATCTCCGGTTCATACAGCTGCACCTCCAGTAATGTTGTGTACCTTATCCAGTGCAGAAAATGTAACAAAGGATCTTATGTTGGCGAAACAGGACAGAAGTTGCAAACAAGGATGAATTTGCACAGACATACCATCAAGGAACATAAAGAAGATGACTTTTGCACACCTGTGGGACACCATTTTTCACAACCAGGCCACACAATGGGAGACCTCAATATTTTAGTTCTTAACCTCCCTGGAGGTATTCCCGAGTGTAGCTCGGGGTAAAGTTTCAGTACCAAAAGCGGTAACCCCGAGCTACATTCGGGCTTACCATGCAGCGCTGCATAGGGAGTCCCTGCAGAGCTTACCTTCTCCTTCGCTCCCGCGATGTGTCCCCTGCAGCGTCCCCGGCCAAATCCTCCGGCCGATGCCGGCATCTGTGTTCCGGTCCCTGTGACGTTGGGACATACAGGCCGCCGCGCCGGCGGGAAATTTGAAAATTTTAAAAAATATCATTTTTTTCAAAACACATTTTTCATAGTAAAACATTGCTGTTTCAACCCATTTCACATACATTTTGTCCCGAGTGCTTTGTCCTGTGTCCTGCCTGCATTTTGTCTGTTCTTTCTGCCTGGAAACTGAGAAACGTCCAAAAAGTGTCCCTTTAGGTCAAAAGCGGTTTTAGATCAGCTAGAGAACAGCGATAGTAAATCAGAACCACTTGCAGAATTGAGTGATAATGATTCGTGGGGGAAATTCGTCATCAGACACTGAAAACGATTTTGCGACTTTGCTCAGCAATGTACGAACTTGGCGCTCTATTTCAAATTTCAGTGTTTTCGGTTTGATTATATTATTGAATTAAATGTATTATTATTATATTATTATTTTTTATGATTATTTATTAAATTATAATTTATGATTTCGTGTTTAAAATTTTATCCTACCCGGGATGTTTACTAGACTCTTGTCCGGACAGATTTCAGTGAGTTATTCCTAAAAATTACAGCCTACAATAAAAAACTACATATTTCCATGCAAAATAATGGTACCGCTTTCAGCACCAAAAATCTGAAATAATCATACCGCCAGGGAGGTTAAAGGAAATTTCAAATCCATTCAGGAAAGAAAAACTTTTGAACTAAGAATGATAATTCTATTTGACACAAGAGAGAACGGGCCTGAATTTGGACATGGGATTCCTCAATCATTATCCAACAGTTTTATCACCTCAAGCATGACTGCCTCTGTGAGTGTGTGTCTCCCCCCCCCCCCCCCCCAGACTTTGCTTTTGCTGTGTCTTATCTCTGTTCTCTTTTTTTTTTCCATCCCCTACATCTCTTCTAACATTCTGCTATACCTTTGTGATCAGTGCTGCTTGGACCTGAAGAAGGGGACACTCCCCAAAAGCTTGTCCTCAAAATTGTTTGTTAGTGCAAATAAAAAAAAGTATCACGGACAGTACTCAATTGTTTATGGGCACTTGGTGAAAGGGAAACTACTCAAAAACTAAGAACCATACTCCAAACTAATTTTATGGCCCCTCGCAGTCTCAATCTGAAGACTGTGTGACAGGGTGACAACACAGTAGCACAATAAGGAGACAAGGACATAGGGTTGTCACTATGTGACAGGAAGTGTCTGAACAAAGGTCTTCATGATCACCAGGTTTTATTAAAATGAAAGCTATAGATTTATTACATTTCAAAGGGACTTCTGAAATGAAATTAACATATCTCCTAGATTGTAAGCTTGAAAGAGCAGGGCCCTCGATCCCCTCATGTTTTGCATTGTATTGGTATTGTTCTATCACATGTTCTGTCCCCCTTTGTAATGTACAGAGCTGAGCGAACTATTGGCGCTTTATAAATACTGTATAATAATAATATTAAAACTTATCAGAGATTTTGGTGATTGGGTTATATGTTACAACACAGAAACACATTAGGGAGACAGGGACAGAACATTGTTGCCCTATAAGCACTTTCATGGCAGAATAATCAGGTATTATATAAAAAAAAAGATTTTAAAATATTAAAAAATTACTTAAAAAACTACATTGATATATTAATGTAATTTTACTGTGATTTTAATAAAACTTCTATGAGATTTTAGTATTTGGGTTTACATATACTTTAACCCCTTGGGGCCGGCGCCTCCCGGCCTTTTAAGGGGTTTGTGATGCCCGGAGGCGGGGCGGGGTTTAGTGTCATGTGACCACCACGTGGTATAATAGACTGAATGTTGTGTGAATTGATGGTGCTATATAAGTACCTATAATAATATTTGTATGCCCTGCCCAGGGGCAGACTGACCATTTGGAAACTTGGGATCTGCCCGAGAGCCCGGGGTCAGTAGGGGGCCCCGTAAGATGCCCCTGGTACCTTTTTCATAGGCTTTTTTGAGTTTGGGCAAGGACACAGGGGCCCCATGATCCCCTATTGCCCGGGGGCCCCCATGAGTTGTCAGGTCACCCCTGGCCCTGCCCCAGACTACTTACTTGGGTGCTCCCTCAATCCAGCACTTTGCCTGAGTGTAGCAGCTCCTGCATTCACAGGACAAGAGTCAGCCGCGTGAGCCATTGGCTCCTACTGCTGTCAATCAATTCCTCCTAGCAGAGGGCAAGGTGTGCTGTGTGTGTCTATGGCTCAGGAGCGAGCCTGCACATGCACCCCCATAGAAAGTGGCTTTCAGAAAAGAGGAGGAGCCAAGAGTGTCAGCGGGGGACCCCAGAAGAGGAGATTCGGGGGTCCGCTCCGTGCAAAGTATGCAATCTTTTTTTATTTTAGGGAAAAAAATGTTTTACCTTTTACAACCAGTTTTACTTATATTGCTTCATTGTATCTTTTCTCCAACCACACAGAGCATTTTAGAAGTAATAAAACATCTGTCTTTGCTTATTCCTTGTCAGCGCATTAACACCTTCACCGAATGTTACCACCCTGCATTGTGACAGATTCCCGGGCAGCTACGAATGTGCATGAACCTGGAGGTCTTCATATGGACAGAAAAGAAAGAATCTTCTTCTTTTGGGAGGTGATAGGTACAGCAAAAGCTCCAGGGACAAAGTTAAAAGTCTCAGCCCTCTGTCACCCTGGAAAGAGCCAGCAGAGGACTGAATCTGAAACACTAGGCGTCTGCAGACAATTTTCCAGGTACGTGAAAGAGCCAAGTTTTATTTTATTAGTCTTCCAGGAAAAAACACATTTTGGACGTAGCTGGCGACACCAGGCGCGCGCCTCAACAGGACGTTTATAATTAGGGAAAACAAGGCATCATTGTTCTGTTAGATTCATTGTCAGGATTAAAAAATAAAAGATGCCAGAGGGTACAAGACTTGGCCAGATATTTAAAGCTGAACGCCAGGCATATATATATATAAGCCGGCCATACATGGGTCGAAATTCGACTGATTTTTCATCTGAAGAATAATCGGCCGATTTTGTTTTTGTTAGTGGGTCAATGGCACCGGCCGATTTTTGTGGTTCCTCCCCTTTTCGGTGATTGGGCATGTTGGGGAATTCTTTAAAAAAGGACCAATTTTCGACTCAATGATGGTCAAATCGTACGATCATTTTTTTCCGAACAGAATATGCGCATGAGCCGTGACCTGGAAGGAACAGAAGTTTCGCCTATTATATGGGGTGAACTTGGTCGGCCGATTTTTGACATCATTGATGGCACCATCGGATTACCGAGCGAACGACGGTTTCGATTTTCGGACGCAAAAGTGTTCGGAATTCGAACCATGTATGGCCTGCATAATACACACTCATTTATGTAGGTCTGTATTCATTAATACACCATTAAGTTTCATACACGGGGCTGCACACGGGTGTAAATAGAGCCAGCATAGGGAAGCCACAGGTGTACAATGCAATGAAGGGCTATATGCTGCTATACCAGGATTTATGAACATATGTGCGTGCGCACAAGTATACAACCCTGGATTTATACAGTCTGGTCCCAGGTGCGTAAACAAACGCCATCTTAAAGGGCAACTCCATTTTCGTGGGAAAAAATATCAAATAAAAAAATATTATAGCGTATGCAATTGCAACACAATTCATATTGTTATTGAACGTTATTACAAATGACCTTTCCTTTTCATTCTGCAGTTCTGCAATTTTCTGTTAAATGCAATGCAATATGGCAACCTGGAGGTATTCCGTGCACCATTCTTTTATTATCAATTTTTTTTTTTTATTATTATAACTTTTTTTTGTTTAACCACTTCAAGTCCGGACACTTTCACTCCCTTCCTGTCCAGGCCAATTTTCAGCTTTTGAGCGCTATCACATTTTGAATGACAGTTGCGCGGTCATGCAGCACTGTACCCATATGAATTTTTTTTGCATTTTTTTGAGACAGATAAAAGTTTATTTTGGTGGTATTTATTCACCACTGGGACTTTTTTTTCTATATTAATGAAAAAGTCCAAACATTTTGAACAAAAAAAGTGTTTTTCTTATAAAATTATGCAAATAAATAATCTTTCTTCATAAATCTTGGCCAAAATGTATTCATCTATCTTCTTAGTAAAACAAAAATAACCCAAACTAGTTTATAACCCAAAATTATAATTAAAAAAAATTTTTTTTTTTATATTATTATTTATTGTTTTTTTTTTTTTTAACATACTGTCACCCTAGCAGTACAGTGTCACCATAGTGACACTGTACTACTTGTGGGGGGGTGATGAAGATTTTTTTTTTTTACGTTACACTCATTGTTTTTACACCCATAAAAGCAATAATTGTTTCCTTCACTCTGGTTGCATTCTTGCAGCCATTGAGAAATACTGTGAGAGCTGTGATTGGTCACAGCTTGTCACATGGTACAAGGCTGTTGTGAATAGCCTTGTACCATCTGACCTCTCTGATCATTCACAGATTTCACACGTAGTAAGCAATGATGTCAGGAAGTGACATCTTGCTTACTACTATTCATGTGATCCCTGATTGGCCAATCACACAGAGGTCCTGTAGAGCGATCGGTCCGGACACAGCAGGCACCGGATTGCGGTGTTACGCGCTCCCAGGGACCGCGCACAGGCAGGGAAGCGGGGAGGACGTTTATAAATGGCAACCTGCTCCTGCACTGCTCCCGTGTGGCCATTTATATACATGGGCCAGATGGGAAGTGGTTAATTATAATTTTTTTTTTTTTTTTTCAATTATAACTTTTTTTTTTTAAATGGTTGAACTGGATGGACTTTTGTCTTTTTTCAGCCAGACTAACTATGTAACCATTGGTGCACAGAAGGCCACCAGAAATGTTTTCTCAGCTCTCCCTTTCCCCCCTCTTCAACATGGTTACAAAATTTTATAAATAAATCCTTACAGGTCTTATCACACAGGTGATCCGATCCGATCCACTTGTCAGTTTTTCAGGTGGACCTGATTGGATGGTTCTTGCATTCCTAAGGACCGGTGGGTGTAAATGGATTTGTATCAGTTTACACCAGCCTACCTCCAGGTCCAGTTAGGCCTGGTAAAAAAAAAAACTGGATGAAGATTGCGTCCTCTTCCGTTTGGGTGGACCTTGATCAGAGGGAAGTCAGGTGTAAACAGACAGTGAAGTCCATATACTCCCTTCTGCCCACCGGGGGTCTGTCCATGTCCACTCTGCTGAAACTGAGTCATCCACCCCCTCTGATCCTATCAGCAAGGGATCTGTGAGCGGGTCACCTGCTGATCAGAACCCAAACTGCCTGCCCGATTTGTTCTCTTACATACCTTATTCTGGACTCTGACCATGGTCATTATCAAATTCTGTAGAATTGTTACACTGTATCTCTTGTTACAAAGTCATATGTATTTCCTATGCTCTTCTGCGCCATCTAGTGGTCACAGTGCAGTATGTTACTACTTCAAATAATGAAAGAAAATTTACTCAGAAGAGAATATAGCTTAAAGTGTTACTAAACCCCAGAGTGCATTCACTATACCCGATCTCCCACAGTACACAGAACATGAAAATGCAATTATTTTAGTAAATCTAAACTGCTAAATACCTTTTCTCATCAGCAGTATATACCAGTCTTGTGACCTGTGTTATCAGTGTCTGGCTGAGCACCTTGTACAAGGAGTTTTCATTCACCCGATTGTCCTATGAGGCTGCATAACACCTCACCCTCTGTCTGGACAGTGCTGATTGGCCCTGTGCTGATCACATGCACTCTCCCAAGAAAAAAAATAACTCTCTACTAATACACACCAAACTGAGCATGTGCAGCGTGTCCCCAAGGCTCTGTTCTATCAGCAGATGAATTGGAGACAGAAGAAGGGGAGGATTAGAGAAGACAGGATCTAGCATCTGTTTTATGTAATACAGAGGATTAACCACTTAGGTTCCACAGTGAGTATAACAAGCATTCTTTACTGCATATACAGACTGATTTTACTGTTGTGGGTTTAGTAACACTTTAACCACTTGCCCTCCTGAGGATTTCCCCTCCTTCCTGACCAGGCCATTTTTTTTGCGTTACGGCGCTGCATTACTTTAACTGACAATTGCGCGGTCATGCACCAAAATTAAATTTACGTTCTTTTTCCCCACAAATTGAAATTGGTATTTGATCGCCTATGGGGTTTTTTTTTTTTGTGCTATAACAAAAAAAAAAAAAAAAGACTGACAATTTTGAAAAAAAAAACAATATTTTTGACTTTTTGCTATTAAACATGTCCAGTAAAACAATTTTAAAAATCAAACTTCATCATAAATTTAGGCCAAAATGTATTCTGCTCTATGTCTTTGCTAAAATAATTCCCAATACGTGTAAACTAATTGGTTTATGTGAAAGTTATAGCGTTTACAAATGGCGGTATAGATACTGGAATTTTTTTTTTACTAGTAATGGCGGCGATCAGCGACTTATAGCGGGACTGCGGCGGGCATTCTGACACTGTGGAGAACTGACTTGGTGTCACTGACATCCCCAGTGACGCCAATACAGTGATCAGTGCTAATAAAAAGCACTGACACTGTACTAATGACTCTGGGCAGGAAGGGGTTAACATGAGGGGCGATCAAAGGGTGAACTGAGTGCTGTTTCACTATAAGCTCTGTGTGTGTGCTTCACTGTAATCACACTGCTTTGGATGGCTGTGCTATGCACAGCCATCCAAAGCAGTGTGCAAGAGCTGACAGGGAGGAGAACTGTATTGTTTACAAACAATTCTCCTCCCCGATGGAGATGCTTGGCAATCACCGGCCGCCAGCGAGTAATCACCGGCCGGGACCCGGTGATTGACAGCCGCCGCCACGAATGGCGTCGCGGATAGGGCGCGCACTCGCCCCCTACCCGTAAATGCAATATCAGGTATATATACATGATTTTGCGCACCCGTGCCGCCCTGTAGCAGTATCTATACAGTATATATATAGGGCGGTCGGGAAGCGGTTAAAGAACATTAGATTTTGCCCAGAACAAATGTACATGCAGATAAACTCAACAAATGACTGTTCATTTTTTTATAAACAGACCCCTAATCTTTTCTTTCTTTATCGTCTGTCTGTTTCTAACAAATTTTGCAAACATGACATTTAAAACCAAACTCCAGGATAAGCAAATGTTGTCTAAATACCAGTCGTGTATTCTAACTTGAATCTTGGCGTGCTTTGTGTATTTCTTCCAGATCTGTGCAGTAATGCATTGTGAGACTTTTCCTCTGTTCAGGAGCTTCCTGTAATAAAGACCAGTCAGTGCCGCTCTCTCTTCTTGTGCGGGGTGGCTGGCCTTGTCGCCACCCCTCCTGCAGTACAGCAATGATCTCACTGCAAATTTTACAAGGTAATTTCAGGGTTTGCAAAGGCATTGAGTGCACACAAAGTGAGTTATATTCTTTGAGGCTATTGAATATATTTCAATGAAAATGTTTCTGCCTACAATTCAGCTATATTAGTTAAAAAATGTAGAAATGTGCTGGGATGTTCTTGTTCGTTATTTGGTGCTGTTAATATCAATAAAATTCTATGAAGAAGACTAAAATAGTCACTGTTTATTGCCAGCAGTCCTCTATACTCCCTCTTCAGTCCTGCCATTATATTAACACACATTGTCCAATATAATTATGAGAAAAAATACTGTGTATTCCTTCTGTCAACCCCCCCAAGAAAGAAACACTTTGGGGGGTCCCCCTCTTCTCATACAACTCCAATCTCATTTATCATGTGGGTCGGTCATCACACTTTTTTTAGTCTTAGAAAAATAAAGGCTCACATTTACCGAGCATATATTGGTCTAAAGGCGTCGCCAAGGACTCCTTCACCTCTTTATTATTACATTACTGTTGTTATAATTACGAAATGTGGAAGAAGTCACAGCGGTAGGAAAACAGAGTCAGTCCAATCCTGTGTGTGTTTCAGTGGGACTGCCAGCATCAAACAGCCAGAGTATTCCTTGGTGAGAACACGTGTTCAGGACTTGCTCATTTGTTTGATTGAGATGTGTTCCTGTGCTCATGGGTCGGAGATCATTGATGGGAGAGAAGGGGGCTTCACACTCACCAGCTGGTGGAAGACTAAACTTCCCTCCATTCTAATGGAGATGCTTCTTATCAGGGGCGGATTTACAACTCATGGGGCCCCCCAGGCAATAGGGAATCATGGGGTCCCCGTGTCCTCGCCCATACCCTATATCTATCTCTCCACCCCTTGCCTCACCACTTCAGTCTCTGCCTGAATCACTAGCCTTCTGAACGACATATCAGACTGGATGTCACTCCACTTCCTCAAACTAAACCTTGCTAAAACCGAGCTCCTAGTTTTCCCCCAAGCCTGCGTCCCCCCCCCCCTGACCTCTCCATCACGACCAACAACGCCACCATCAGCCCCACCCCGAAAGCCAAAGTACTAGGTGTCATTCTAGACTCCGATCTGTCTTTCCAGCCCCAGGTCCAATCGCTGACAAATTCATGTATACTCCACCTCCGCAACATCTCCAAAATACGCACGTTCCTAACCCCGGAAACCACTAAGCAACTCATTCACTCCCTTATTATATCATGACTTGACTACTGCAACTCCCTCCTCGCCGGCCTACCCCAACACAGGCTATCCCCTCTTCAGTCTATCCTGAATTCTGCGGCCAGACTCATCCACATCACCAACCGCTCCGTATCTGCCACCCCCCTCTGCCAATCCCTCCTCTGGCTTCCGATTGCCCAACGCATAAAATTCAAATTATTAACATTGACATATAAAGCTGTTCATAACACTGCCCCAAACTACCTCACCGACCTGATATCCATCTACCACCCAAAATGCACTCTCCGCTCCTCACAAGACCTCCTACTCTCTAGATTTTCCCTGGTCTCCTCCTCCCATGCCCATCTCCAGGACTTCTCCAGGGCTTTCTCCATCCTCTGGAACTCAGTACCCCAATCCATCAGACAGTTACCTACCCTGCTCACCTTTAGGCGCACCCTGAAAACCCATCTCTTCAGAGAAGCCCACCCAGCCCTCACCTAATTGCTCATCTCCTCCGCTCTTCCCACCACTCCATCCCCCACAGCTATTTCCTCCTGTACCACTATCCCCTCCCTCCTAGATTGTAAGCTCCAAGGAGCTGGGCTCTCAAACCCCTCGTGTATTGTATTGTTACTGTACTGTCTCCCACTATAATGTACAGCATTGAGCAAACTATTGGCGCTATATAAATACTGTATAATAATAATACCCAAAAAAGCCTATGAAAAAGCCAATGAAAGGTACCAGGGGCATCTCATGGGGCCCCCTACTTACCCCGGCCCCTCAGGCAGTGCCCGAGTGCTCGAATGGTCAGTCCGCCCCTGCTTCTTATGATCACTGATGTACTTTCACTGGTATTACCAATGTGGACTACTCCAACACAGCAGCTGGCTGGACACAATTGGACTTGTGGCTAAAGAGCCAATCAAGACAACAGTTACTGCTATCTTGCAAACACTGCTGCTGGTCTAAAGTCAGACAGTCCATTCAGTTTACCTTAAAGTAGAACTAAGACCAATCTACAAAATTCTGTGTAGCACCCTCCTAGTTAGAGTAGGCTGCTAAAAAAATTGAGTTTGGCTCCCCTGTAATCAGAGGCTCGATTATTTAGGGCTCCTCAGGTTTTCAAAGGCTTCTGCTCTGTTACTTCTTCCTGTATTATAGAGATTTGAAGAACATAGTGGAAAGAAGGCCAGAGTCTGCAGCTTGGATATTTATGAGACTCCAGCCAATCCCTGGGGAGGTGTGCCCAGATGGTGGTGAAAGAGCCCATAAATAGTCTGAGGTCAGAGCAGCAGGAGCAGTGTTTATTTATTTATTATTTCAGGTACTTATTTATTTCAGGTACTTATATAGCGCTGTAAATTTACGCAACGCTTTACATACATATATTGTACATTCGCATCCGTCCCTAACCATCAAAGAGCGTACAATCTAAAGTCCCTAACTCACAATCATACAAATACATACTAGGGACAATTTAGACAGGAGCCAATTAACCTACCAGCATGTCTTTGGAGTGTGGGAGGAAACTGGAGTACCCCGAGGAAACCCACGCAGTCACAGGGAGAACATGCAAACTCTAGGCAGGTGGTGCCTGGGTTGGGATTCGAACCAGCGACCCTAGTACTGCCAGGCAGAAGTGCTAACCATTTAGCCACTGTGCTGCTGAGTCTAGATCTGTTTATGAGTCTAGATCTGCAGAAGGAGACCCCTGTTTAGGGGTTCAGTCCCCTGGGGTAGATGTCTGGGAGGAGACCAGCCAAACGACAGCAAGGTCCCAGCTAGGCTTAGTTGGGAGGCCTATTTGCAGGTCCAGGTCCAAGGTCTAGTTGGGTCAGGAGAAGCTCATGGGAGAGAGCTGAGAGGAAGCTGTGGGAGAGAGCCCAAGTTGTCCAGAGCTGTGTGAGCCTACATCTTCCTCACTAGGAATAGTCTGCTGGATATCGTCAGGAGGCAACTGATGATCCTGTGGCTAAGTAAGTACAAGATCCCAGTGCTGCAGAGTGTGGTAGTCTGTAGCTTTGTACTCTAGAAGGAGTACAGGTTACAGTCAGGCTAGAGGTCCTGTGGGACATTTCTTGTACTGTATGCAGTAAAGCCAGAAGTTTGTACAGTGAAGCAGAAGTTGAAGAGTCCTTACGTTGTACAGTTTACAGTACTGGGGAATTCCATGCTCTCTATCCTTATCTGCATTCATAGTTCCCCAATAAAAAAACGTAAAATGAAGCCCACAGTCTGATCTTTCGAGCCAGAGGAAGAATACTGAAAATGCTCTGTGCCTGGTTGTGTGTGCTCTAGGGGGAAATAGAACATAATTCACCAGTGGCTCTTTAGGGGGCTCA